TCTGGTTAGCAGGCAAGTGTCTTAGCCACTATGCTACACTTGGGAGAGCAACAGCAGAGTAACTATTCTTACAACATGAGCTACAGAGCATGAAGAAGATCTTTTGTATGTCCACTGGCTGGTGTCCTGTAACAGTTTAAAGTCCTTCGATATCTAGATTGCTTTTGTAAATAGGGGGCACTTATTCCAAGAATAGTTGTGAGAACATATGACAGAGGGTGTTCCTTTTTCCAGTTGAAAATGTGAACTTTTTTAGGCTGAAGATATACTGCCCCCATCCCCACAGGTCCCTTTACCCCCTACCCCGCCCTCCGTGCCCATTTTGGCTGATCATCAGTGGCTTAACCACATCTCAAGTGAAAAGGCCACTCTGCTGCTTTGGGCAATATCGCTCGACTTACCTTCTTGCTTAAGGAGCTCCAGAGTGAATAAATTAGAAAGCTTAAAAGTCCAAGTATACAAATAAACCACAGAGGGCACATGGAAGTGGTTGATTGTTCAGTGTAGAACAAGAAAAGAAACTGCATTTTTGGGGCAGACATCAATGTCTAATTCCCAACAGTGGGAATGTAGGCTGATTCTCAGCACCTTGGCAGAGTGAAGAGCCACTCTAGCTTCAGAGCCAGTGGCATATAGTCAGCAACACTTGACCAGTTTTATTTGACCCTTTCATTGGCATTTGGGAGCATTCTCCCCCCTGCCCCCATCTTGTCTGTAAAGAAAAATTCTGTTCTCCAGATAACCAATCTTGTACCAATGTAGCAGAAAATGGAGTAACTGGAACTTTTGTGTTTGACCTTCAAGGAGTAGAACATGCACTTTCCACTTTTTCTGCTGGAACAGAGGATTGTTGTTATGTACCATAGAGTCAGACCCGACCCATAGTGACCCCTCCTTGGGTTTTCAAGGCAGTAGATTGCCCCATCTTCCTTCCAAGGAGTGGCTGGTGGGTTTGAACCTCCAGCTTTCTGATTAGCAGTCAAGTGCCTTAGGCTTAGGCACTATGCTACCAGAGCTCTTGAACAGAGGATTAGAGAGTAACATTTATGTCCATAGGGAGCTCTGGTATAGTAGTGCCTAAGGCACTTGACTGCTAACCAGAAGGCTGGCGGTTCAAACCCACCAGCCACTCCTCGGAAAGAAGGTTGGGCAATCTACTTCCGTAGTGATAATGCCTTGGAAATCCAAGGAGGGGTCACTATGAGTCGGGTCTGACTCCATAGCACATAACAATAACTTAATCTCCATCAGGTACATTCCCTTGCCTTTCTGGAAGCTTCATGATTTAGCTTTTATTAACCATCAGGAAACACCAGACAATTATGACCCACTAAACCCAAGATTCCAAATCTTGAAAGAAGGGTTTGATGTGATACCAAGGTTTAACACAAGTAACTTGGGATAAATGAGGATAGTTTCAAGATCTAATTTAACAGCAGGAACACTCAATAAAAAAAGTTTCACTGTTTGAGAATATTGCGTTTTGTCTCAATCTGAGTTCTAGCCCCTTGTAGCCAGAGTTCCCCCTCATAGTTCCATGGTAGGTTGTGAAGGTTTCTCCAACCCTCACAGGGAAACAGTACTCAACAAAGGTCGGATCTCCAAACTACTGTCATTTAATTTTACTATGGGCTACACTAGGAGCTCTGGTAGCATAGTGGCTAAAGCACTTGACTGCTACCAGAAGGCTGGCGGTTCAAACCCACCAGCCACTCCTCGGAAGGAAGGTTGGGCAATCCTACTTCCGTAGTGATACTGCCTCGGAAACCCAAGGAGGGGTCACTATGAGTCCGGACCGACTCGACAGCACATAACAACAACATGGACTACGTTAGCTTTTGGAGCATGATAGCTGGCAGCCCAATCATCCTACTAAATTGTTTCTCTTGAAAACAATGTTCTATTCCAAACTGATTTGCCATCAATTTTTTGGTAAGATTAGGAAACATGAAGGTCAAGCTATGAAAATCCTACTCTTTCATTCTGCCTGTAGCTACTGGAGCACAGAGGAAATACTCTGATCCTAGACTCAATTTTATGACTGGCTTTCTACAGAACAAAACTCTGTATCCTCATCTGTGAAGTGTGTGGGGGAAATGTGTCATTTAATTTACAGATATTAACATACTCTGGAGCTCCCACAACTGAGAATTAGGAAACAGAACCAGGTAATTAGGATGAGTGGGATTTTTATGTGCATCTTTTAAAGTTTTATTTTGTTGTTGAGAATTTACACAGCAAAACACTATTCAAGTTTCTACATGTACTGTTTAGTGACACTGATTCTTCAAGTTGTGCAAACATTCTCATCCCATTTTCAGAGCTGTTCCCCCCCCATTAATGTAAATGACTGGCTCCTAAGGTTTCTGATTTTTCAAGTTGTTACTGTCAATTTGATCCCATATAGATCGATCTTAAAAGAGCACATTGCTCAAAACAGACTCTTTACTGGTTAAGCTCATCTATTGTTTAAAGACTATAGGCAATATTTTTAAGTTTAAAGATCATCTCAGGGCAAGTTTTCAGGGGTTCACCTAGTCTTTGTGGCTCCATCAAATCTGTATTCCATGAGACTTTGTAACACTGTTCTGCATTTTACCCTATTTGATCAGGACTTTTCTTAGAATCTTTGATCTGAGCGTTCAGTAACAGTAGCTGGGCACTGTCCAGTTCTTCTGGTCTCAAGGCAAAGGACATAGGTGTTCATGGAAGTCATTAGCCACACATGCCATATGCTCCTTCCTCTATTGCCCCAGGCAAAGAGACAAATTGTTGTTCTCTTTTTGAAGCCAAGTCTTTGATACCATCACACAAAAATAGTTCTTTCATTACTTAATTCCCCTTCCTCTCCCTATACTTACATGTAAGTAAATGCTCCTCCTTAAGACAGGAGTGTTAGGCCATAAAGGAGCTAATCCACCACCAAAATTTCAATCAAATGATGAACTGAGACTACTCATTTGCTCTGCTCAACCTGAACAAAATGAGCAGGCTAACAATGATCTTACCTTGATAGGGGTCTGTGACTACCCTTCTGAATAGTTCCATTAAAATAAGAATTTACTGTTTGGAATGTCCACAGTCTACTATTAAGAAAAAATCGAAAGGAAAAAGTCTTCCTTATGTCTAAAACCTCTATTTCCCTCATTTTCAAATACCCTTTTCTTCCTGTTTTATTTTTAGTAAGCATATTGCTAGGGTAGTTTTCCTTCATTGAAATAGCAGTGCCTAAGCAGTAATTAAGATCCTCCACTGGTTGCACAGTGCCCAAGGCACTTGACTGCTAACCAGAAGGCTGGCGGTTCAAACCCACCAGCCACTCCTCAGAAGGAGGGTTGGGCAATCTACTTCCATAGTGATACCGCCTCAGAAACCCAAGGAGGGGTTGTTATGAGTCGGGTCCAACTCAATGGCACATAACAACCTTTTGCTAAGTAAAGAAAAGTTAGAGATCCAAGTGTTTAGGACAACTTTTTATTGCTACCAGAGGCTTTATCATCAGTACATGGTTGTGACTGCAATACCTTCTTTAGACTGCACAGACAGCTCAGGATCCAGAAGTCATTAAGAGAAATACAGATAAACTGGGGAGGCAGGGGGATAACTTTTATCAAGAAAATCCTAACAACATAAAACTTGGGTACTGCATTCAGTTATTACATGTTACATACTCAAATCATAAAACTGCCCCAACACCTAGACAGTCTTTCCTATTGATTATAAATGAGTGAAAATTCTGATCAGTTACAAAATCTAGTTTTAGTTGTTTACATACATGTTTCTTTGGTGAGCACCTGGATATATTAACTTTATCACAAATTATACAAATGTCAAAAAATGCTTTCAACAAATCTAAGAGTGTCCTAATTACATGCCACTTATGTTTCTCTTGAAGATAAACAAAAATAAAAGCAGTAATTTTGTTCCTAAAACTCGAAATAAGACAAACATTAAAAATCAACATGGTAATGTGAGACTTTTTTCTATTACCACCTTTGATTTATATGGGGCTACTGTGAAGTACCTTTCAGAATAATTTGAATTTGAATCATGGATTAAGCATGGCAGTCATAGAAATAATTTGTTCACTAAATTGCTAAAAAAATAATTTGGGGGTTCCCTATTTAGTGGAGGTCAAGGTGTATAGATCAACATGCACAAAATCAAGAAGTCAAGAAGCAAGCAAAAGAAGAGGAAAATTAAGTCAGGATACTAGAGACGGGTTGCTAGTTATGAATTTTGTAACTTTAAAAGATTAAATGTGATTTTTTGACATGGGGCAAGTTATATTTTAGCAGAGAAAATAGTGGAACTGACAAACACTACAAAGAATTTTTTTTTTTTTTAATTTTAGACCTTTTGAAAATTTTTATACTTTTATTTAAAATGTTGAATTATTAGCCACACAGTAAACAAGGGTTTTATTTTTATTTTTTTCTGGCTCACTTCAATTCAGCCTGATAAGGTATATATATATCCCTTGTATATCCTTTCCTGATTCTGCAAGTTCCCCTTCCCAGAGTAGTCGACCTTAAGTTTTGCACTTGAAGGTAATACCTGTTGAAACTACATGACAGAAACAGGCTGCAAAGGTGGACAAGGGGAAGCATGTCCCTCTTGCCTTGATAAATCACTGCCACACACAGAACCCACATTTTCTGAAGCATTATCTTCATTATAGAGCCGTTTAATTCCATCATAGAAGTCATCCACTTCCATTTCCTCTACTTTACGTTTAGCAGAGGTATGCTTGCACCCACTGACAGCTGGGCGATGATGACAGAAGGCTGCTGCTGTACCTCTGACTGGCACTTCTGGTTTGCTGTTGTCCTTGGAGAAATCTGGGCCTGGGACAGAGGAGGAATGTAATCTGAACACTCCTTTGTCACAGGTCACCAGGGTGTGCTTGAGGGGACGGTAGACATAAACGGAATTCAAAGGCAGGGAAGACTGCAGAGTAGAAAGGTAGTGTGCCACAAGCTCCCGACAGTGGATCAACTGGGAGCTGTCCATCTGAGCCATAAAAAAAAGAAAAACAGTATGAAGTTGCAATTACTGTAGGCTTCTCTCTCATCTTTACTGGCTACCTTTACTCTCTGTGCTCTCTTAAACTGTCTCCTCACCTTTCTTTTCTCCCCACAAATCTTCTACCTCAAAGTCATCTATTCCTCCAGCCTACTTAACGTCTTAATAATTATGCCCAAACTGTGTATCTAATATAAATCTCTTTGGAACTTGAATTCTGTATTTGGAAATGTATGCCAGACATCCCCATGAAAGCAAAAACTATACCCTTTCCTCACTAACTGACATGGTTAAGTTCCAAAGACCAGGTCCTTATGCAAAACTGGTTATGCACAGAGTACGACCTAATCGGGTCACAAAACAAAGGACGACTACATCAGTACGTAACTGCCAAACCACAGAGAGTCACGGCCCAGCCAAGTAGACACATCATCAAGGCCAGCATTACTCTCACCTTGTACCTCAGCACTCATTATTGCCAGACATACATCATTAATGCACAAAATATTTCAATAGACTTTTTTTCACTATTGTTGCAAATATGTAATGTTGAATAATGAGACAGTGAGGAGGTGTATTCTCTTTTACTCATTGCTTTATATCCAGTGTCTGCTTTTCCTCAATCTGTCCAGAACATCTTTCGTCCCTCGATCTTTGCCTCTTCTAATCTCTCCAGCAAAGATTAGGATACAGATAAACTTAAGAATTTAAGGGAAAAGCTGGCGGCAAGAAAAAAAATAAATCAAGATGAGGAATGCTGCCTTGCTAAGAATTTACAACAATTTAATTACTGTGTTTTATAACAATAAACAAAAACTTTTGATACTTTTGTCAGTGCACTTTATAACATCAGGAACAAATGTTTTTGCTAAATGTTTTGTTCAATTTGGGAGATTCCCTCATTCTCACATACTTCAGGATTCAGTTATCAATCCTTCCTACAGTCATCTTTGATTACTCTTCCATGCCCCCAAACACACACAGCAATTGCAGAATCATCGGTTTACTTATTAACTTGTCATTATACTTACATTAATCTGTTTAACCACTGAAACTTCCCATGACAGAATGAGGCAAGCATTATATTATATTTATCTTTTTATCTGTAAGTTTCTAGCATGACATGGAAAGTTTTCAAAATCTGATCTCTAGTGAAGAATCTAATCAGTCTCTCTGCTCAACTCTTCCTCTTATTAATTACAACAAATAATTGGTCAAGTAATTTTCTTGACAACATATGTTTCTTCCCTACTCAGATCTTATCAGCAGCACTTCCAATCTTTATCAAAAATAAGCTAACCTCCTTAGCTTATTATTAAAGCTTTCCCACAGTATGACTCCAACTACTTTTCCAGCCTTTTTGTTGTTAGGTGCTATCAAGTCAGTTCCAACTCATAGAGCCCTATGTACAAGAGAATAAAACATTGCTCAGTCTTGTGTCACCCTCACAATCATAGCTATGTTTGAGCCCATCACTGCAGCCAATATGTCAACCCCTCTCACTGAGGGTCATTCCTCTTTCTCACTGACCTTCTAACTTTACCAAGCCTGTAATGTTGAATAATGAGACAGTGAGGAGGTGTATTCTCTTT